CCAAAAACTGGCTATCCGCCAATGCATTAACCGTAACAATCCTACTTACTATAAAGCGCTTCGTCTGTCGTGTCTGTATGTCTGTCACGAAATTCCCTAGCTCCTCGGGATCCGCCTGGAGGGACCGGGTCAAGTGTGGGACGGGTGGGCAAGGTCTCACGAAGTACAAAACACACATCAGCTAAGCGGAGCCCCGCCCACAGTGGGCGTGGCGTGCGTCGACATGAAGTGTACTGACGACCGAGATTTTAAGATCTCTTAGAAAACGACCTTGAAACTGGGCCAAAAAGTGGGTAAAGGTGTGCATTGGTAAGTCACATCGAATTAGGGAGACCCACCCCCGGTGGGCGGGGCGTTCTCCAAAAAAGCAGTGCTTTATGAAAAATTTCATAACTCGGTTGGGAGAAAGCCTACAGAGCAGAAAACAATTGGTGTAAGGGAGCAATGTCTAAGGTGTTTCCCAGCATACATGACGTGGGCGGAGGCCCGCCAGAATGGGCGGGGCGCGCTCTGAAGTGTACAGCATTTTCTACAAGCCCTCATAATTCGGGCGGGAAAGTCTTAATGAGCCGGAAAAAGTTGGATAGTGTCGCGACTCCCGTCACGACCTTTTCAACGTGCAAGGTATGCGCCGATACTTTCCCGTGCTCCAGCCACGGTCCCACGCTATGAGACGAAATCGACCGGGTTCCTCTCACGCGTTACGCAGCGACACTTTTCCCTATGGTTTTGAAACGGCATGCACACATCCAGAAAGTGTCGGGAAGCGCTGCTGCATCTCTGCCTTTGGCCACGCGCTCGGTCTTGCCTCGTCAGTCCGACGAACCCGTCGTCTTCGCCGAGCGTTGTGTTCCGTGGATTCCCTTCTAGCTAAATGGTTGGAGCCGCCGTCAACACCATCTTCGACAGCTAATGGATCGGATGCATACCACTCCGCCGCTTATCCTCCTCCGATCGTGCCCGTAGGTTCTCCATCTCTCTTATCCTTCTCTATACGTAGTCTCGCAATCTATTGTAATATTAGTATAAATCACCTTAATACTTAGTGTTCTGTTATGTAGCAATATCTACACATCTTTAGCAGCACGGTCGTAAGGTCGTCAGATAGGGGAGAGGGCCTCACCAGGCTCGCGGCAGGTTTGAGGCTCGCGGCAGCAACAGTACCGTCAGAGCATTCTCTGTGCATACCATTTTCCCCTAGGATAAGGTGTTCGGTTTTTGGCTCGCCGTTCTCATACCCGTTTTCTGACTGCCGCTGCCTCTCGGTGCTCGCCACGATCATGTGCGCTTTCATCCCACCACTCATCATCGGGGCACGGCTCGCGACAGAATTGGTGCATCGGGCTGCAGTCAGCGTCGTCGAAAGGCGGCGTTGGCTGATGTGATCGAGCCTTTCGTCGCACCGCATGTTCTGTACCAGGATCTCCTATTACTGTCTCCCCTTTGGTCGTTTCAATCACCTTTCAATCAATAAGTAAACTCAAAAGCGTGTCGTCAGCGTGTATCTCGTGTGGGTAACGGTTGTCGTGGTACCACAACTGGCTCTATTGCATTACTACCCAGGTATGCACGTGATTGGTGGACTGTAGCCCTAATATGGGCGGAGTTTGTCGCCGAAGCTGCCGCTGCTACCAAAAGTCCCGAGGTCGGGCGGTGCCGAGGAAAAAAGGTGGCATGGAGGTGTGGAGGGGGGAGTGGCCGCAGCTATACCCGGGAGCGCGGCGACGGGGAAGTACGTGCGGAGTTTCGCGTACGCAAATTCCAAGCGAAGTCCTAGAGATAGGGAAAACGGGGTTAGAGGTTGGCGAGGGAAAAGAGATCAGCTGCTTCCAAGAGGTCCCAGAGACCGGTGAAAAAAGGGGTAGAGGTCGGCGAAAGGAAGGGGGCCAAATGCTATTGGTGGGCGGAGCACGCACCGAAGTAGGCGGAGTTTGCCACGAGATTTATTGTCCGGAAGCAGTCCGAAGACCGAGACGCGCGGCGGAAAAAAAAAAGAATAATGTAATGACTGAAGAAAAAAGGAGTTGATAAGTCGGTCGATGATGGGAGGGGGCATAGAATTTAGTTCTGAGTCATGTCGGATATTCGGTCGTGGTGTATCAAACAATTTTTATTGTTGACAAAAATCTAATTGTAATCGGTATTAATTAGTACAACCGTTCAAGCTGTTCCTCTTTGGGCTTTCTTTTGCCCAAGTGGTGACATTGCGCCGCGATTAGCGAAGGAGCAGATAAAAAGGGACAGAACGAATAAAACAACCTAGATTGGAGAGGCAGATTACTATTATACAGGTGGAAATTGAGGTGTTTGGAGTCTCGAAGAAAATGCCATAGATTGTCGAAGCGAGAGGACCCGCAGCATGTAATTCAGCCAAAAATTTAGTGGTGAACTCCTTCTAACTGGTTTGTTTTGGAGTCTACTGTTCGGAAAATCTATTGTTTGGACAATTTCCAGAATTCTATAGCTAAGTGTCATTCATCATTTCCTATATAACTTTCCATATGAATGTAAATAAGAGATTAATCAAGACGACAGAAGTGCCATGTAGCAAAATTAAACTGGTGGCAACCAAGCTTTGTGATTAAGGTCAGGCTTCCATGGACGCCACAAAACCGTGGAATATGTGGCCGACCAAATTTCGATTTCCGCTCAGAATTTGCCAAGACCTTGAGAAAACCACAACTCCAACAATCATGATGAAGCTTCGTAGCGGATGTCACTATTACGAGGCACAGGCGCAAAATTGACATGTAACGCTTTACCTGTCGGTCGTATTGTGCTGGAGCGACGAGATTTTCTGGAACTTCGAGGAGTCTGCGCACGGATTGTTTCAGAACATGGAGAGTCCACGCCTAAAACAACGGTTATTTCTACGAAAAAAGCTCAATCAATTTATCAATGTGTTCAATCGAACCATCTCCTCCTGAATGGCGGTCTTTGGATTGCCGACTGCTTTTGCGATGACAAGCGTCGACAAGCGAGGACGCGCTATTCCCTTGTGGAGTAACTGTATTGTTGGCTTGAGTCGTTTCTATAAACATGCGAGATGAGTTGAAGAGTAACCAGCATTCCTTCAAATTCTAAAAATGTGCTTTTGCAAGGAAAGAGTAAAAGTATTAGTGAGTAGAGGCGATGCTCTGCATAGAACTACTCTATCAGATGCACTATATTATTGGGCTGGCAGAATGCGAGTTTTTCTTTCAAAACTGTTTATTTTTTTCTCATAAATATGATACTCTACAGACGCTAGTTTATTTAGGGAGAGAAGCAGAGCATCGCTATGCCGGCTTAGCCCAGGAGAAGAGGATAAGCTTTGGGAGAATTGAAGACTGCTTACACACCTCCTCCCCTAGTCCCTCCCCAAGGCTCAGCAAGAAAGTGTTTCAAATCCCATGCGATTTTGAATTGAGACCTAGGTAAATCGATAGAGCCGTAAATGTTGGTTACAAACATGGCAAGCAAAACTGCTACGCGAACTTGCCTAGGAAATTGTGAGTGATAAAGTTGGCTGTTAATGCAGCGTGGTACAATGATATTTGACAAAAGTCAACTTGCAAGGGTTCTGGTGCCCC